CCTATAAGCCTAAAGGAATGAAAGATTAGGGTAGAAAAAAATGTAAGTTGGTATTGTTTGTGCTTGTGTCTATTGAACTATCATGCTAAAAATTGGTGTTGAAGTGGTTTTGTTGTGTCTATTATTATAGTGCTTGAGGCACCGGTTAAGGCTAAAAAGCCTATGGTTTGTCAAGGGGGTCTCTAATCCAATAGCATACAACAAGTAACTGAAGAGAGCCTAGCTATAATTATTTCTGTTGGCGAGTAAGAATGTTAGGGGCAAAGGAAAGATTTTTAGTTCATGCCATACCTGAGCTTTTTTTTTACTTTATGAGATAAATATGGTGATTTAATTAGGATAGTTAACAATTGATGGTAAGTCTATGTAAAGCTTGAGAAAAGGCTACATAGATGAGTGTGGACTGTATTTAATGATCCTAGGCAATCGTAGAGCTACATTTAATGATCATAAATAAGTTGAAAGCTAGTTGGTCTACTGTGAAGTGATGCCTTGATGAGAGATTAATAGAGATAATTGGATAAGTCTTTTTTTGGTAAAAGCGAGCCCATTTGTGGCGAGGAGTTTAAATGTCAACCCTTTCTTATGGTGACGTGATAGTCAAGCATGTATTAACTTGACGATCATGGAAATTGACCTTATTAATTGAATAGATAGGTACAACAAGGATAGTTTATATTCATGTCACTTTTCACCTTATCAATGTTGCTATTATTGCTAATTAACCAAATATTATCTTGTCATTGTTTCAATCCCATCACTCTCAATTTTATTGTTATAATTGAAATCTACATAACTGGAAAGGTATAAGTTTCATGTGGGAGACATTTAATAATTGAAAATATCACTTATAATTATTATATTACAATTAATTATAATTTAAAATTATATACAATTTATCAAATTTTTATATAAACTTCATTCTTATAAATAATAAATTTTATAAAAATTTTTATTATGAGTGAATACTTATAAATATAAATATGAAGTAAAAAAATTAAAGGGATGTTTGATTTGTGAAATTGTAGATTTCGAGGGCAAGTGTGATCCCCGAAAAAGTACGATACCCAGGGTTTTCTTTTATTTTCAAAGCATCCTATGTTCAGATTCACTCATTTTATTGGAGAGAATCCATATATATTATATCCTAAACAATTACTATAATATCCTTGATATATATAATGAATGTTAACCATTTAAAAAATATAAGATGATTATTTAAAGCATTTTTTTGTCTAAAAATACCTTAAATAATTCTCAAATTTTTTAAAAGAGATTATTTAAGGTATTTTTGGTCCAAAAATGCCTTAAATAATCCTCTTTATAATGTATCAGCGAATTTTTTAAGATTTTTTTAAACCAAAAATATCTTAAATAATACATTTCAATTTTTTTATTTAGCTTATTTAAGGTATTTTTAGACAGAAATGACTTAAATAATCCCCTTTAAAATGTATCAGAGGATTTTTTAAGTTAATCAAAAAATACCTCAAATAATTTTCTTCAAAAAATTAAAAAGTCATTATTTGAGGCGTTTTTAGTTATTTAAGGCGTTTTTAGTCAAAAAATACATTAATAATCCTTTTCATTACTTATCAGATTTAAGAAATAAAATATAAAAATACAGGAGTAAGTCAATTAGTTAAAGCATGTAACTATTAACTATAAAGTCATAAGTTCAATCCATCCTTATAGTGTTTTAAGGGTTTTTATATTTTATCTCGTAAATCTTATAAGTAATTAAATAGATTATTTAAGGTATTTTTTATTCAAAAATGTCTTAAATAAGTCCTTTCAAAATTGAATGGTATTATTTAAGATGTTTTAGTTAAAAAATTTGCTAATACATTTTAAAAGGGATTATTTAAAGAGTTTTTGAAAGCTAAATGAAAAAAATTGAAGGGTATTATTTAAAATATTTTTAGATTAAAAATGCTTTAAAAAATTCATTGATATATTTTAAAAGAGATTATTTAATACATTTTTATTCAAAAATATCTTAAATAAAAGATTAAATAATTTCTTTTAAAAAATAAAAAGATATTATTTAAGTATTTTTGTCCAAAAATATCTTAAATAATATCTTTCAAAAAGTAAAAAAAGTTAACGATTATTTCATAATTTTTTATTTAAATTAAATTTAAAAATAATGTTACTTTTATTTTAAAATTTTAAAATATCACAAAAAAAGATAAATTTTTTATTTTAAGTTTTTGAATATTATTAAAAATTTATCAATTTTTTAAAAAATTAAGTTACTTTAAATCAAATAATAATATTAAATACTCAACAATGAAATTTAAAAAAAAAAAAAGTGAATTCTTTCAAACCATCCCTATAAATGAAACGCACCGTCATATGATTTTGATGGAACGGCTAGACCTAATCTGCCAACGAAGAGTGGTTGTTCGTACTCAAGGCCACACGTCACCTGCTTGTTTAATGTTCGTACATCATACTCCAAAGAACCTTCAATAAATGTTCTTTTTCTCTATACAAACAAAAATATAATGAAAAGTTGAAAACCCTAAAATTAGAAGCCACTCATTAAGCCTCCATAGTCCAAACACCCTTTCCCGTGCAAGCAAGCTCGCCCAAATTCACGCCACGTTTACTATTATGAAACAACGTTTATTATTTCCACACGTGTCATTTCACTCTTTACCAAGTGTCAAAAGCTTAAACAAAGATCGCCGCCAGCCAATGACAGAGAGTGGGTTGGGCAGTCTGCCACGCTCTTCATGCATAACGAACTGAATCGAGGTAAGAATGCTTTCTCCACACCCTAAACAAGGAGCGTGTAAATACTGGCCAATGAGACTTCGACAAGCGTTGAATACAGTGGATAGCTCTTTAACTTTTAACTTCCTGAGTAAAACAGCATTGCCTACGGTTTCATTAAACGCGCACCTCCGTTCGTATAATTGCTCCCAACTCCGCTGCGTTTTCTTCATTTTTCTTTATTGGGGCTGGTTTCTCTTGTCACCTGCTTTCATTATTTTATTTATTTGGAATATAAATTTATTTTATAAACAAACTATTAAAATTAAAATTTTGGTCAAAAATAAATTATTAAAATTAATAAAATATATTAATAAAAAATTATATTAACATGAAATATTTGTTTCATGTGTAAATTATACTAAGATATTATTCATCTGTTTTAAAATGTTTGTCATATATTGATTTTTATGTAGTTTAAAAAAAGTTTTAACTTTAATGTATTTAGTATTAAACTTTAAATTTTTTTATAAAATTTAAATTTTAATATTTTTAATGTTAATAAGTAAAAAAAATCATAAAAAATAATTTTAAAATATAAAAAATAAAAGTTTTAGATATTAAAAAAATATTTCGAGATATAAAAAAATTGACAAAAAAAAGAGACAAAGAAAGTATAAATTTTATTATTTTAATATAAATCAAAATTAAAATTGCGAAGATAAAAAAATTCAATGCAAATTTTGACTCTTTTTATTTATTAAATAAATTTATTGACTTTTTAAAGTTAATGAAAAATTAAAACTTTGAAAATAAGGTAATTTTTTATTTATATCAAATTAATTCATTTACTTTTTAACATTAATGAAAATAACTTATTTATTATTAAATAAATCTATTCAATGAAAATTGTTAATGAAACTAAAGTTCTTACTTATAAATTGAATAAATCATATTAATAATAAAACGCATTTACAATGATAATTTAAAAATATAGTTAACAACAATAACCTTTTGTCCATTCAAAAGTTTCTCATATTTGTTTTCTAGAAGTAAAAAAATTGGAGTATTTTTAATTTATTTTGAATTCTAGATTTAATCCAATTAATTTTTACAATCACTTTTAAAAAAATATTATTTAATAAATTTAAATTTAAATAAAAATATTTATAATTTTTTTATTTTTAAATTATAATTTTTTTTTAAAAAAATGCACATTTACTTATAACTTATATATTTTTTTCAATTAATAACGAATCAATCGATAAAGAGATAACCACTACCCTTGGTAAGTAATTTATGCTTCCCCAAATTAAATAAATGCTTATTTTTTACCTAAGACTAAAATGATTTTTATTTTGGAATGAAATAAATCTTTAAGATAGTGTTTGATATTTTTTACAAAATCACCATAGTAATATAATTATCGAGATGATTTTATTATCAAAGTTATCTTAACACTCATGATTTAAAATCATTTTATTTGATTAACAATGATTAATTCTTAGAAATTAAAGATCACTATATTTGGTATTACTAAAAATCAAATATTATTTTGTGTAAAAATACAAAAATAATCATGCATATTGTAATAGTTACACAAATTAATGTTTTAAAGATTGTTTATAAATGATAATTTGTAAAATATTAATAATATTTATTTATTATATAATAAAATATAATAAAATTATTAAATTAATAAACATATTTATTGATAAAAAATTAATTTTTATAATATAAATTATGTAAAATCTATTTGAATTAGAAAATAAAACAAATCTATTAAATTCATAACAAAAGAAAAAATATATATATAATATATAAAATATTAAAAAATTAAAAAAATATGTAAATTATTTTTAACTTATTATAATAAATTTTAATTTGAAAATATAAAAATTTATAATATAAAATAATTCAATTTTAAGTAGTATCAAATTTTTAATTTATCTATTAAATAGATAAAATTGACTGTTATTAATTTTAAATATCATTTTATCTTAGTGATAAAATTTTTTTTATAAAAATTTCATCATTTTTTAATAAAAATTTTATTATTTTTTAAAATAATAATTTGATCACTCTCAATCATTTAATACTACCGTCACATTAAGGTTATCAAATATTTACTAAACACAATAATTTAATCCCTATGTATCTATTACATTATTTTGAAAATAATTATTTTATACTATACACTACATAAAAGTTTTATTAAAAAAAATGCTCGGTCAGCACATTCACGCCCCTTCGAAGCGCGTGCAGAGGGACCACCAGTGAAGCCTTTGAGCTGTGAGTCTTTGACCAACCTTTACCCCCCCTTCTTTCTCCCTACTAATCCATAACATGAAGCACAAAACCTCGCGCTCTGGACGATCGCTGCCACTTGTCTCACTGGGCCCGCCTCAAAAAATTTTAGATAGACAGAAAAAAAGAAAAAAGAAAACTGAAAAAAAATCAATCCGCATATAAGTTCACGACCGAACCCCAATTCCCCAGAAGGGAAAGTATAATAAAAGACAAAAATAAAAGCGCCGATTGTCAACAAAGCATCTCTTGCCCTTTTTCTCACATATGAATGTAAAAACCCCTTTTTTTAATCATTTTCTCGTAGCCACCATCTTTCTTTCTTTCTTTGCAAAGCTTTCATTTTTCTGTTTGGAGCATGAGTGAAGAAGAGTGGGTCAAAGAAGCGATGACTGATGTCATGTTGGTGGCAGAGGCATTAATGAACCTCGTCCAAGTGGAGTTACCGCCACCGCCACCGAAGCAGTCAGCGAAGAACAACAGTGCTTCGCCGGCTTTGCAACTCGAGTGGAGTGTCCGTCAACGTCGGTCTAAGCAGGCGCTTAGGAAGAAAGGCGAGCCTGCACGAGCTAGCCCCTCCACGCCCCTTTCTTGGAGCGGTGGCACATCTGTTAGCGGAAGCGGTGGTCCTGACGGCTCCGAGGAGTCTAGCCGTCCATTGAAACCGGTTGACAACGCTAGATCTAAGGTTCGTTTACGTGTTATCTGTTTTTTCTACTCGGTGAGTCGAGCGGTTGACTCAGTCTTTTCAGTTTGGTGGTTTTTCTTGTTGCGGCCGTTTTTTTTACGGAATTACCCTTAGAAAAGAGCGAAATTTGTGTCATTTTAAGTGATTCTTGTTTTTGCATTTGTCAGATAGATTTTCGTTTCGGCTTCATTTCTTTTTGTAGTTTCATTTTCTTTTGTATAAGATATTTAAAAGGACGATTATGCCCTCTTGCATGGGGATTTCTCTGCATCCAGATCGAGCATACTCTCCGGCCACGAGACCGGATTTTGTCTTCAAACTGCGTTGACTGAAATGCCCTTTCCTTATAAAATTGTGACTTTACCTTTTATTTTTTATTTCGAAGAGAAATTTTGGTGACTTCCATTCAACACATAGTCGTGTTTTCTTCTCCCTTCACTTTCATCACTCTTGCAATGCTCCGTGTGTCATATCTAATTCTGAAAAAGTCTAAAACACCCTCCCTTTAATGGGCATTTTCGTCATTCGAGTATCTTCCAGTTAGCCCCTGTGTCTGTCCTCGGTGTCCTAAAATGCCTAAAATCGAAGTCGCTTGTCGCCTGAATTATCGGTGGCGTATTTCGGTGGCAAAATAGGTCTGTTTGAGTTTGGTTGATGTGTCGTTGTTAGTGGTATGCACTTTAGTTTTATGCGTTATTTTTCGGGTGTTTCCATCAAAGGAGAATGATTTAGTGTGGTGGCACACAGAAATTTTCTCTTAGCTCTAACGTGTCATCATTGGATCCGCAAGACAGCTTTGATCGGCAAAAACAAAAACCCTTTTGTAGGGAAAAACATTAATTGATTGGGCAGTGATTCCTATGAGTGACAGCTTGTCATTCGAGCTTTGGGTTGTGGTCCAAAAAGGTGAAATTCCGGGGAAAAAATAATGTTTCATGTTGATTGTAGATGATGTTTATTGAATTGAAACTTGAAATAAACAAAAACACCCGACTGAGGCAAAACGAAGAAAAATGCCTTTTTTAGGTGCAAATTGTGAGGACTAGGACTATTTTGTGTTAGAAGTTCATTAAGGTGGGGACCATTTTGTCACCAAATTTATGGCATAAGCTCACTTGTTGGTTATTGGTTTTACCAAACCCAAAATATCATTTGCTTTTTTTACATTTTTTGTTTACTTTGAAAAAAAGAAAAAAGGTGTGGATAAAAGGACCAGAGTACAGGGTTTGGAACTTGGGATTTGAGGGTCATTTGGTGTGTGGGGGTGTGGTGGGCGTCTTATGGTTTTGAAAGGGTCTAGCTTTGAATGCACGTGCCAAAGGCCAAATGGCAGGGCAAGTCGGTCACGAGCATCCCATGTGACTCATTTTGGGTATTGAAGTGGCCGCAAGCTATTGGGTTTTCAATAAAACCGCGGATGCTGGCATGTCTTATTTGGATAAATGTAAACGCGTGCCACTTTTTTTTTTTTTTTTTGAACGATTTTTGTTTTGTTAGGTGGGGAACTTTTGTTGGGAATGTTCCTCTTCTGCTATATTTCCTGCATCTTTGCTAAAGTTTTTGGCTTCTCTTTTTGAAAATGACTTCGATTTTTGGAAATCTTATCATGCATGCTGCAATGGTTCACAAAAAAACATTTTCAAGAATAGTCACTATTGTTTTATGTGTCTCGGTATCTCCATTGTGCCTCGAATTCAATAATAAGTTCATTTGCCAAATATATTTTCTACCTTGTGTGCTACCATATATAATTATTTTGGGGGAGGTCCAATTTGTTGTTCTATTCCCTGCTTTTGACAGAAGTTTCCCTCTTCCAGAATTTATCTAATTAATTTACTAAGGAATAAGATTGTTGACTAATATCTGCTCCCCCACGTGTGATTTGTTCAGGTTGCGGCAACAAACGAGACAACTCCTCCTCTGAGATCTAGAAGGAAAAAGGTTAAAACTTTCAACATTATGACCTACTCTATGAAGACATGCATGAAACAATAGGCTTGGGACCTTAGCAACATTATCTAATTGTACTTCTAACCCTCTGTTCTATGGACGTAATTGACTGAATAATTGCTTAGATTTCAGAATCTTTTCATTTTTTTAATCCACTCCTACAATGAGTGATTCTATTGCTATACTTATTTCTGATAGTGGTTTAATTTCTTGTTGTATGCAGACATTATCTGAACTTAAAGAGGAGATGAGTTCACACTTAAAGGAAAATAAGAGTTTGAAGAATGTAGGTTCTTTAACTTCTTATGCAGTTTTTTTCTGTCCCCCTTTATATCTAGGTACTTCTGTTTTGGGATTTCTATTCTTTTTTTTTTTATATATTTTCCATTATGCACATTAAGCAGGAATTGGAAATGGTCAAAATCAAATTTGAGAATCTGAGAACCACAAATGAAACTTTGAGCAGAAAGCTCAAATTCGAGAAAGAGAGAGCCACAAATGAAAGCTCTAAGAGAATGAAGGTGAAGAGTTCTCTCCTTATTTCAACAAGTTTGCCTGCTAGTGCATGTGCAATTTTGCGTGGATGCCTTTTTGTTTTGGACATATGTGATGGTGCTGTGTGCTGTTAAGATCGTATTATATTCTGCTAGCGAATTTTGGTCCCTTGAATATTTATTGTCCTTACAGGAAAGAAGGGAGACTTTTTATGATGTGTCACAGGTGTTGATTTGTCAGTTGAGTCTAACACTCATGGAGTGGCACTTTTGAATGGAATTTTGATGCAATATCAGAAAAATGCTTTTGATCTTAAGATAAGATTTGGATGCATTTTTCTGATTTTATTTGGAGAGGACTGCATTTCATGAGTTATGGCAATATCTTCAAGGAAACTATTTGTCAAGCTCATTTTGTATTTTGTTGTGATTTTTTTGAGTTTGCATGCAATTTCTTAGTTGTCTTTTGTGGTGTGTGCTGTGCCTGATCTTATGTTGGCTCTTCAAGACAGCTAGCCGGTGGGCATTAGTAAGTTGTTAATTTCTTAAGAAGTTGCCTAGACATTGGTTATAATTATAAATTTTTTTTTTTCATTTCCTTTCTTGAAATGTGCTATGGTAATACTAATTGCAGTTCTAACCACAATTGTTTTTCTGTTCACAAGTTCTATGCTTAAATATTTGATAATTGAAAATTGATATACTGGTCCTAGCTGTATAATGTTGATGATGACACAGTGACATTAAGGAGGCCATCAAAATTTTGGTGTAATGATAAGTAGTAAAAAAATGAACCTGTCGTATCTCCATCTTTGATTTTTTTTTTTTTTCTGTTTGTAAGTAGCTAAATATGGAAGCGAGATGCCGGACAAGATCTAACTTTTACTTTCATTTCTCTCTACAGCTTGACTATCAATCAAATCAGGCAACAGGAACAGCTATTGCTCTTGTTGAACCAAAGAATGCTATCTCAGACCTATCCCAGCAAAGAGAAGTAGCTTATCATCCCGCAAGTGTCGGGTGCAACGAAAATGGCCCGTATATGCCAAGTGAATCTTCTAAAGTACAGGACGTCACAAGTTGCAAGACTTCCTTTATGCTTCCAGATCTGAATCTTCCTATTGAGGATGATTCAGGCTGTGAAGTTCGTGGAATTAGCTGAGATGTATATTGATATTCTTCCCCCCCCCCCCCGCGCCCCCCCAAAAAAAAAAAAATTTGAGTAGAGTTAAAGATGGGCAGCGGAATTTATTGTTTGGTTTACAATACATAACAGTCGTAACTCGCCATTTCTTGTAAGTACTAAAATCAATTCCTTGAGAGATTATAGACTATGATGCGGATGCCTATTTTCTCTAATGAAGGTATTGAGGAGCAGTGTAGAGAGCCTAACACATTAGATATGGTGAGAGATTCGTTTCTTTGAAGCTTTCTACCTTTGTCCAAAATTCTTTGCGGCTAACCCTCATCCCTTCTCTTCCTTTTTTTTTTTTTTTTTTTTTCAGGAAATGTTTTAACTGACAATGAATTGTAACTATTCTATAGACAATTGCATGGTTTGATACTCTGTTAATCTAATTTATTGGTCTTTTATATGATGATGTCTCCTTCAAGCTACGTGGATTATAACTCTTTCTTTTCATTACTATTTATTTATTTAAAATTACTGTGGGTACTGCTACTGTTTCATTAGCTTAATGGTTGTGGTTTACCCCAATTCTTTTACAGAAGAGATTCTATTTGCAGTTATAATTGTACTCATTGCCATAAAAAGTTTATAATTTTTTCTTTTAAGGTTAGAGTACGTCGAAAATGGAGGTAGAAAATGAAAAAAAAAAAAAAAAAAAAAAAAAAAAAAAAAAAAAAAACTGTCATGACATGAAAGAAGATTGAAAAAAGAAATGATGCAAGGGTTTTTGCATTTGTAATTTTAAGTGGTATTTTCAAAAGAAAATGAGCACAAATTGATGCGTTCGTCGAAGGGAGTTTAGATGCCTTTGGTTTTTCATGCGCGGGTATTCGTGTGGAAGTGATTTTGATTGCGAGGACTATAGTGTAAGTGCAAAAATATTAATTTTGTTATATTGAGCAAAGTTGAGCGTGCAAAATGAAATTTTCTTTATAGAATAACAATCGTTTATTCATTCATATTAATCTTGCATTTAATTCATAGCAAATAGCAATCGGCAAGCAGTAGAATTGAAAAGAAACGCAATTATTGAAAGGGATTTCCTTTTACAGAATACTTAATAAAAAAATTAATGTTTATTAAAGTTACAGTAGGTAAAAAATGCAACCAAAGCATTTGAATGGATCCTAAAAATTATCAGTAAGTTAATAAGCACTTATAATAATAATAAAGCTTTGATACAATTGATCAGTTCTGTGTATTGTCTTGACGACAATGAGTGATGTTCTTTGTATTCTCTATATTGTAAGGTAGAAAAACAGCATTTCTAATTGGAAATATATATATAAAATAAAAAAAATAATATGCATATGACCAATGGCGGATCTAAAATTTTAAGTTAGAGGGGTCAAATTAAATAATAATTGTAATTTAAAAATTTTCACTTAATATATAATATGATATTATTTTATCAAAAGCTATAAAAATTTTAAGTAAAATATGACATTCCATAATATAACCATAAATAAGATACATAAAAAAAAAATTTAAGTATTGAAATAAAAAAACATAATCATTTAAAAAAGAAGAAATTCAAATAATTTTATTTAAAATTATGCACAACAATTTTTCATAAAAAAAAAAATTATTAGACTAAAAAGTTTTAGTAAATTTGCTCTCGACGTAGTTAACAAGATTAAAATTTTCTTTCAATGAATATTTATAATTTTCTCAAATTTAAAATTAAAAAGAACTTATAATTTACTATTAATGACTTCAAAATCAAAAGATAAAAATGTAGTGGTTAGTGGTCTCATTATGAAAGTTTTAATCACTCTTTATACCTTCATTATAATTAGCTCTTTAGAAAGACAAGAACACATTTTTTTCCAAGAACTATAACGATTTGGTATTAAATTTAAGTTTTTAAGGCATAAGACTTACTGTTGGATTCAAGCTTTTAGAGAATAAAATTTGTGTCTCTTTATGTTCTAGTAATCTCATTTTTTTTCTTTTTTTTTTTTTTTTTTTTTTATGTTAAACTTCTTTGAATAGTTTTGACTTTTTAATGTGGGTTATATTTAACAAATACATTTATTTTTTATTTTTTTTAATTAGAAGTAAGCTATAAATATTAATAATTTTTGCAAATTAATTAGAATTTGAGAATTGAAATTTTTTATCTTAAAAGGTTTTTTTTTTAAAATTATAATTATAAATTACAATTATAATTAAATATTACATAATTGAATAATCAAACAAATAAATTAATCAAGAAATTAGAGCATAATTAACAAATCCAAGATAAAATAAAAACGAATTCATGTATAATAAAATTTGAACATAAAATTTCAAGATTTTAAACATTTACAACCACAAAGAACAACTTTTTATTTTTTAAGAGGGGCCATTTTTAATTTCTAAAAGAAACACTTATAAATTATATGCACATTATTAGAGGGGCTTCAAAAATCTTGACTTGGGGGGGGGGGGGGGGGTGGCATGGCCTCTCTGGTTTTCATGTGGCTCCGCCACTGCGTATGATGTAGGTGAGGGTGGAGTGGACGTACAGAAAATCTTCATTGGCATGGTTATCACCAAAAAGGTCAATAAATGCAACACAACCACAAGTGGCGAGTGAAGTGAACATTGTATTTAATGGCAAGATGTAAAGTTAGATTGCATGGTGCAGAGAGTTATCTTCAGACAAGACCTGAAGAGCACATCATTTAAAACAATTCTTACATAAGGATTCAGGTTTTCAGCTCAGGGTTTCTTTTCCTTTCAGTGGCAGTGACAATGTAGCTGAGAGGATCAGAAGGTGAAGGGAAACTCACTGTAAATATTTCACTACTATCTTTCAGTCAGGCTCAGGTTTCTGAGCGAAAGCAAAGATTGGAGATACTCTCTGATGGCATCACTAACAGACGGACCAGGCCAAGCAAAATGGTAGTTTCATTGTCAAAAAGGTGCCTTATGCCATCAAAAGTTTTGGCTCTATCTTATGATCTCTCCACAATATATATATATATATATATATATATATATATTTATATATGTTTCATTTCTCTGAAGGTGAAGTTCATAAACAACCCCTCAATTATTCTAAAGAAAATTTTTTTTAAATTCTAAAAAATTCTCAAAAATATCTTTTTTTTTTAAATCTGAAATATTTTTTAAAAATTACAAAAAACTTTTAAAAAATAAGAGATATTTTTAGAAATTATAAAAATTAAAAAATTAAAACAATCTCAAAATTTTAATAAAAAATCTAAAATTTTCAAAAAATGAAAATTTTAATAAAAATAAAAATTTCTTAAAATTCAAAAAAATTCACAATAACTTAAAATTTTGAAAATAAGAAAAATCTAAAATTTTTTGAAAACTTTTGAAAATTAGTCTTGAAAATTTTTTTAAAATATAAAAATTTATAAAAAAATTCTTAAAAATTTTCACAAGTTTTGAAAATAAAAAAATTTTAAATATATGAAATATTCTAAAAAATATATAAAAATTTTAAAAATTATCAAAAAGAAAAATTAATAAAAATCCAAAAAACGAAAAATTCATAAAATATATAAAAATTTATAATTTTAAGATTGAAAAAAAAATTTTCATAATTTTTAACAAATTTTTAACAAATTTTTTTACAATCTTTTAAAAGATTTAGATTTTATTATAAAAATAAAGATCTTTTTATTTTCAATTTTTTAAGTTTTAGGGAGGTTTTTTTAATTTTAAGAAAAATTTATTCTTATTAAAATTTTCATTTTATGAATTTTTTTATTTTTTATATTTTTATTAAATTTTTTATATTTTTGATATTTTTTAAGCTTTCATAATTTTCATAATTTTTTAAATATTTAATATTTTAATATGTTTTAATTTTTTAAAAAATTTTATATTTTTAAAAATTTTAAAAATTTTTTAGTATTGTTCTTTTAATGGTAACATAACAATAGATAATATGCACTTTTTCTTACATGGATTAGAATTTTATTAGAAGTTCATGCCACGTTAGTAAATTGACTAACAATATTAGTTTTAGGTACCAACGCAAATGATAGAATGAAAATTAAGGTATCAAACTGAAAATTTTATTTCTTTAAGTATTAAACTGACAAAAAATGTATAGTACAATAATTATTTTTATATTTAACCTTTTAAATTATAATATAATATTTAATGTGATATTTAAAATTTAAAAATCTCTAATGTGATACTTGAATTATAAAATTATTAACTGTAATAACGGTTTTGGAGATTACTAAATGAATTTTTTAAAAAATGAAGTCGCCGCTAATATTTTTTGATTAAATGTGATTGGTTACTTATTAAAACTTATTTTTTTAATAACTCTTAAAGTTTATTAAAAAAATAATTTTTGGATCTACGAAACAATTTAGGTTTGGGAGTTCGATTACATATAGAGAAGGATTAGTTCCTCCATAATTCTCGTAAAAAAAAAGTACCAATAAATCATGTGTTATCCTTTAATTTTGACGAAAAGGTCATAATTTTTATATTTAAAACTAATTTCTTTAACTACCTTAATTTGTGATGATTTTGGTTTTTTTTTTAATTATTTTTTCTTTTATTGTTTTATTTTATTTGAGAAAAATAAACTAAAACCTTATTATTGAAAGAACTCTTAAAATATCCTAGTATATTGGTAACATTGAAAGAATTTTTTTTACTTAGGAATTTCTTAGGTATCGTTACTGAATTAGTTTAAAATCTTATCATCAAAGGCTCATGTTTACTTTTCAAAAATTAATCGCATGCATACAATGCAAATAATGAAATATTAATACACATATTTTATTTGCCCTCTTTTGGAGAACAATTTATTATTAATCTGTTTATTTATTTATTTTTTTAGAAATGTTTTTAGAAGAAAAAGAAATGCTTTATTATATTGAAAATTTTTATAAATACTTCAATACATTAATAGTATTTAAAAAAATCTTCTTACTTTAAGATTTTTTAGGTATCATTACTCAAATTACCTTAGAATCTCATTATCGGATAAATATTTTTTTCTAATTTATTGTTATTTTTATTTTATTTATTTGTTTTAAAATTTTCTTTTATTATTATTTTTTATTCTTTAATTAAAAATAAATAAATGAAAACCTTTTTATATTGAATATATTTTTAAATACTCTAATACTTTGGTAGTATTTTACAAAAAATATTTTCATCAAAGATTTTTAAAGAATCACTATTCAAAATTTTTTAATACCCCATCATCGAAGGATTTTTATTTTTATTTATTTTTAAATATTTTTTGAACACCTTTTTTAAATATATCTATTTAAAAATTTTAAAATTTAAATGTGGATAAATGAATAAATAAAAAACTTA